ACATTCGCCATCTTTCTTCTTCGCAGACGCTATTTTGTTTTTGGACCCCGAACGGTCCCAGACACTTTCTCCCCCTTCCCCTTCTTTCTCATGGCATTTCGACAATCAATCACACACATAGGGCACTATGGGCAGAGCCAATCACGCGCTGGGCAGCTTTGGCTTCAGCCAATCAGAACACCCCCACTAATTACGTAATTATCACCTGTCATGCCCACCGACTAATCAGAACGCTCCATCTTCACGTGACTGATAGTTTTTGACAGCGGGAAGACGCTGGCGTCAATGAGAAAGTGGGGGTTTGTTTTGAGGTGCCACGGTTACCTATATACTACTTTTGTACTTTTATTCCACGTTAGACAATCTCGTGAGAATTTTGTGTTGATTTTTTCCTAGATATCTCGATTTTATGATTTTCTCATTATTCAATCCTCGTCAATTTTTTATTGCTTGTGTAGCAAGAATTTTTTGTCAGCTTTCTTGTGACTGTAAGTAAGATAAGCAAATTCGCTCAAATCCTTCTTCATTACTTATGCTTATTGAGCATTTCCTTTAATGCATGCACCTTTGTTTGATAAATTACGCAATTATGCATCAGATAGTAGATCATTATTGGTACAAGCAGGACAGGATTTGAAATGTATTTGTCGCGAAGTAGCCATATTTGATATTTTCTTATCATACTCGTCTATTATTATTTCTTTACACAATTGTAGCTGTATTTTTTTTTCGTCCGCATCAACAATTTTTAGTTTATCATGTAAGAAATCTAATAAATTTTCACAAATTCATCAACTTTAATGGGAAGATTTAAATTTTTTAATATATTATTTTTTAATTTGTTAAATTCCCCTTCTACAGCCGTACTAGATTGTCACCGGTATTCGTCCATAGCCGATATTATATCGTCCATTGTCGATATTATCATACATTTGATCATAAGGGAAACATACTCATTTCTTTTAACAAACGTTTTGCCAAAAGTGAAAAGTAGTGGGCATTGTCACGATCTCCAATTTTATGTAAAACACTTTCTACTTCTATATTTATTTTTATGCTCCACGCCAACCATTCATTATCATGATTCTTCAATTATTTCATCTTCATCTGTAAGGACATCTTTTTCCTCTATGTCTTCAATATTTTCATATTCTGATATACCTATGCAATAACAATAATTGTGACAATTAGAAATGAATTAGAAATGAACAATTAGAAATAAAAGCTGAATAAAACTGATATATGATAAACTGATAAATATATTTTAAAAAATAATAATATATTTCTAATGTAAGATTATTCTATATATAAATAAAATAATATATATATATATATATATATAAATAGATAATTAAATAATAATATATATATATATATATATATATATATATAATAAATAGATATTAAAATAAGTGACCATTTAAAGTAACAGATATTTCCAAACTGCATCATGTTTTGATACTATTTTTTTGAATAATATTATATTATATCTTTATATGGGAGAATATTGACAATGTCCTCCTTTTGCACTTTACATGAACATCCTTTATTAGAATACATTTCGAACGATTGCAAACATCTATGATGCTAGCCATGAAACGTTCAACTAAATAATTAAATAAGATATAACGCTTATACCTGCGTGCTAAGTGTATTTTCAGAAACAAAAGGTACACAGGCAAATGGAGAAACTCCATGCGAGATGGAAAAAAGAGATTAAAATCAATCGTTACTGATTAGTAATTATTTTTCACTCTGTGAGTGCAATATTTACTCTGAATTAATGCTGTATTTATTATAATTATCATTATAGATAATAATGTTAATATCTCTAAGTCTGTATATTACATTACCATTTTTAGACAAAATTTGCAAATATTCAAATACACGTGACTTTTATAAACAAACTCTTATAAAAAAGTAAATCATACTTTTGAGAATAATTTTTTAGAAAACATTGAAATAATTATCTATTTATATATAATTTTAATTATATATAGTCGACATATAATTATATTATTTAATTTTACTTATATATAGAATAATCTTACATTAGAAATATATTATTATTTTTAGAATATATTTATCAGTTTATCATATATCAGTTTTATTCAGCTTTTATTTCTACTTATTATCACAATTATTGTTATTGCATAGGTATATCAGAATATGAAAATATTGAAGACATAAAGGAAAAAGATATCCTTACAGATGAAATAATTGAAGAATCAGATAATGAATGGTTGGCGTGGAGCATAAAAATAAATACAGAAATAAAAAGTGTTTTACATAAAATTGGAGATCGTGACACTACTTTTCACCTTTGGCAAAACGTTTGTTAAAAGAAATGAGTATGTTTCCTTTATGATCAAATGTATGTCGTGATAATTTCGGCTATGGACGAATACCAATCTAGTGCGGCTGTAGAAGGGGAATTTAACAAATTATAAAATAATATATTAAAAAATTTAAATCTTTCTATTAGAGTTGATGAATTTGTGAAAATTCATTTAGATTTCTTACACGGTAAATTAAAAATTGTTGATGCAGACGAAAAA